ATATATATATATATATATATGTTTCTCCTTGTTTCTCTCTCAAACTCTGGTATATCATCAACGGATGCCTTATGGTGGTTCGGGGTAATTGGAATTATCACACTTATACGATTATTGTTTTTGAGGAGTCTTAGTTTAGGGTTAATTTTATGATTGCTTTGAATCACTTACGTATTTATTCTACTTTTACATTAAATCTCACCTGTTAATATTATTCATTATAATTAATCACATTCGATTCTGCTTTCTGTACATTTCTCAGGATGCCAAATCTGCTTCGATCATTTAGTGGAAGTAAACCACCAAACAATATTGTATCCAAAAGCAACCAGATATGGGTCAAGTTTGAAACAAATGTTGCCATCAATCGCAAAGGCTTTGAAATTCATCTTAAGGAAAAATACTTCTCCGGTAAGAACACGACAGTGTCTTTTGCGGGTTGTTTTAAGTTTTACCCAGTTTATTCATACTCATCAGCAATTTGTAAACCTATATCAACAAATTAATAATAATCATTTTAGACCTATTATTAGATTATTTTATAATATTAATACTGTAATAGTATTATGATATGATATGATAAAATCTTGTAATGCGCCAATTCAAAAGAAGAATGATCAAATGCACAGAGTACGGTATGTAATTATAGCAAGCTGTTTGAGATGAGTTTTTGAATAATAGAGGTAGATGAACGTTTCCAAAGACAAGAGGCAGCAGATGTGAATGTTCTTGTGTGAAATTTCAGAACAGTGAAAAGATTTGATGTGATGTGTCGTGTAGTGTAATAGTAACGGAATATATTGCAAGGAAAATTAAGGTAAACCTTATTCAAACAATTAATTTACTTGTTGACTTCGCTTTGGTTTATTTTCAGATTGCGGTGGTCAACTGCAGGTAAAAGAAGGAAGCAGCGTCACAATGGCGTCACCGAACTTCCCTGATAAGTACGATCCTTCCCTTGATTGTAAATGGAGGTTTTCCATCAGTCGAGGCCGTCAATTAACCTTTGTAATCCTTGAGTTTAACACAGAGGAAAATTACGATAAATTTTCTCTGGGTGACGGGTTAGGTCCTGATGAAAACATGACAAATGCATTTATTACACGATACAGTGGGCACGATTTACCGTCTCCTCCTGTTTACACGACGACTGGATCCGAAGCCTGGATGATTTTCACTTCAGATAACGTGTCTCAGATGGAGGGTTTTTTGGTACAGGTTTACGACAAGGAATATTATGATGAACTTTTTCCGGCGGATGACGAACAGTCTTTCAGTTTCGAGTCAGTTCCTTTATCTGTTGTGGATGAAACGGTCGGCTAATTATCTATATTATTAACGTGTCGATCAGGAAAGGCAATATGAAATTGAAGTAATACACCGTGTATGCTGATTTCAATCTACGAATAGGTTCTCAACTCGTTATATTAATTTTTCGATTTTTATAACTTATTTTCGCTTCCAAACAATGTGATGACGTTACTAATAACATGTTGTGTAATAATCTTAATCCCGTGTTTTAAAAGATTTTTGTTAATTTAGAAGAAGATCTGCTGCATATCATATCATTTGTTTTCTTTAAAGTTCTTTTGAAGTCATAGTTTATTTGAAATTGCTATTTAAGTGGAACTTTTCAAGAATGTTCATTTTAACTTATTTTCGAACACTATAGAAACTTAGCTAGCGCTATATTATTTCGATCGTTAGGGTAAATAGAATCACGGTCTACGATGAATTGCATAATGTTCATAGAAAGTTAAAAAGGGTGGAGACGGCTATGGTTTCTAAAATTGCTAATATGCGAGTTCAGTGTAGTGTAATTGTTATTCGATATTATAGAAAACATTAAAAGTTGATTAGATATGTCATAATTACAATGACATTTCTAGAATTGTCTGATCAGCTTTGTAATTATTATCATTCTCGTTGCTTCATCTCTAACGTAATTTCTTTTCCCATACATATGAAAACATGAATTTGTCTAAATATTTTTTGTTTTGTACCAAATGTTTACTACTACTACACTGAAAAAGAATTTTATAAATAAATTTAATGCAATGATACCAGCATGCACTCGTCTTCGATTCTTCGATATGCCACAATTGCTAATTATTAATCATTTAAAGATTTGCATCGGCTTGAAAATAAAGGTTGCACTCACGGTTATAGTGTAATACCTACGGTTAGTTATTTGGTTTGATTCTTGTTTGAAACTAAGATAAATTTAATTGTCATTAAAATATAACACAATTTGGTAGCGCTGAATGTCTTTAGAACAGCCTATAAAAGTCGCACATGGTTTAGTTTGGTTGATTCCGCTAATAGCGCTTGTGATTCCTATTACAGTATTTCTAAATTTTATGTTCCATACTTTACTACCGTACTTTTCTGTTTATTATTCTTTATAGAGCGCATAGAGACCTCGTTTATTTGCGCTATATAAATCCATCTATTATTATTATTATTATTATTATTATTATTATTATTATTATTATTATAGGCCTATTTCATTTTCATCTAAATTAAACGTTTCACTCTTTATTAAGTAGGCCTATAGGGTAAGGTAAGGTAAACTTCTAAAATTCGGTTCTTGATGTTGACTCCCCAGCTTTATTCTGTAATGAGATCTAAATACGGATAGTGTCTTACAATAAATTTATTTGAAACATCATAATTCGTTTTATTGGTTGAGGAGAAGCACATTGGTGTTGCACTTCTTAATTCCATTATTCTTATTATTACTATTGAAGAATTCCCTCCATCGCCTTCAAGTAAAACCATGTAATATAAAAGCATAAGAGTAGGGGCAGTAAAGAATAGGCCTATGTCTACTACAGTACAAATGGGGGATTTCACTTTTCTGCATATATAGAATTTACAGTTACATAGACCTATTATTGGGCCAGCTTAATGTGGTGCTACTTTTATGAGAAGGAGTTGCATCGTTTACATGGGTGTGGTCGTTACATCATCTACATAATTATGCGTAATGCCACGTCAAGTACATGAGTATGGTTACTACATTCGCTACAGGCATTGTAGATACACCATCGATGGGGTACGTAGCTACCCCATTTACATAGACGTGGTACAGTAGTTACATTACGTAAGCGTACTGTACGTTGTCGTCAGTATCATCACACAGTATAACTGGAGGCCTAAGGCATATTATTGCCACTAAATCTTGTGTAATATTAGTGGCAGTCTAGAAACAAGGAAGACAAACAGGCTATCACTCTTATTCCTGTATAATTTTCATTGTGAAAGCTACTGACACAATTTGTTAACAAATACAAATGATGAAATTAGGTTACTGTGTTGAAAAAGTCGACTCCAGTCGTACGAGGCGCTCTTCAACTTGTGAGAGGCGTTGGAGAATCGAATTACAGTCACACTTTTCTAAAAAAAAATATAAGGCAAATATTTTATATGACAGATATTTATAAATGAATAGCATTTTATTGAAACCGATAGTTATTATTATCGATATAGGCCTATTTTCTTTGTATGTTATCTATATCAATGTGTTACGTTTGTTTCTACGATCGTTAATTTTAATTATCTATTATTTTAATATCACTGAATAAGAATTCCAAGTTTATTCTCCCTTCTCAACTAACACACTTTTAGACCTCCAACCGAATAAAATCCCATTTATGTTAACAGCGCTAATGATGATAATGTGATTGATGTTGATAATGAGGGAGATGATGACGTATAAACTTATTATTAATCATACCAGATATAATTTTTATAAACTCACCAACGTGGAATTCCCATTGAGCGGCTAATGACTGGTATACATTGCATGTAGGTGTACTGTTGCAGGCATCACAAAATAAGAACAGAGCTACCCCAGGATCCAGCCTCACTCTGAACGTGCCGTGTGTAGTAGCATCCGGCAGAGGAACTATCATTTTTCTCCTTGTGACATCATCAATTGTAACACTATCTCCAGAAGCATCTACCTTAAAAGCAACACTTGGATTGGATTGATGCTGAATGCGAATAAAAACTGGGTTTGCTGGTTTACTGATCTACAAAAATGAAAATGAAGACTTTTTTATAAGCCCTATTGGTTAAACTGGGCATTTGCAATATTGGTTTAAAATCATCAGTGTCAGGGAAATGTACAAAGTATTATACCCTACATACAAAACAGGGTTAGTAAAAAAAAGTGTTGACTGTGATGTCACTTTTCCCCAAGAGATGGTTCCCTTGAGACGTCGTCACACTGTGTCTTTAGTGGACCATTGATGGGCAATAGTGATCCGTGTTAAGAAAATCTTGGTAACATCACTGCTGTGGTTCAAACTGTCAATCATCCTATGTGGTCCAATTTTAAATTTCGGAGGCAAAATGCATTTGGGTGATTCTATAAGTTTTAAAATATAAATTAACCATGCAGATGCCCCAATGTATAGAGGCTCGAAACTTACTTTCATATCGAATGTAATGGTAATGTTAGTGATTGGTGATGCCAAAACTTCATTTGCATACGGTTCACTTTCACTGGTGACAACTGATGGACCGCTAATGTTGTCTTGGTCTTTGGGTGCCTGATCTGAACGTTAGGAATGAATAATTAGGCCATAATAGATCAATGCCTATAAATTCATATTGCTAATAAAAGTAACCTAGAAATCAATTCAGCATCGTCATCATCATCGCCATATTCATTGTTAACCATTCCCACTGTTGTCGTTATTGTTATTATGGGTCGGATAAGTCCAGTATTATCCGAGAAGACAGCAACTGAAAAATTGAGGGAGGAATGAGATTCAGACCCGCACTCGCACAAGTAGGAGCGCCGCCTCCGCCACTCGACCACTCGACTACTCAACAAACTCGATCCTACGGCACCCGGTGAAACCGGTACCGGTTCTGGTTCTGGCTCTGGTGGGTAAAGCTGACCTCATAAGGCCAGTATTTATTAATAATTATGTATTGTTTATTAAATCTTGATGTCTTTCTTACCAACTACAATCAGCTCCATTACTTCAGTGATGCTCGACATCCTATAAATGCAAATGGGAAACAATCATTATCAAAAATCTTGTGTTCGAACCAAACCATCCACAATAATAGGCCTATTTTTAGAAATTTTTAAAACTAGAAAAAACTCACAATGTTGTTTTCATAGACTTGGTAATTGTGGAAAGGTAAAGTCTGGTTCATAGAGGAAGAACATGAGAAAAAAAAAAGATATGCGACAGAAGGGATGTATTCTGTCTCTTATACACATCTAGATGTGTATAAGAGACAGCTATNNNNTGAAGGTGTTGAAGGTAATGTATCCCTTTAAGTAAGACAATTTTTGAAACATACTCGTCCTGCTTAGAAAACAAAAATACTGGCTTGATATTTATGTCTAATATCATTGAGAGTGTAGCCTATACTATGCGATATTAAAAGATAGACTAAGATAATTTTTTTTTAGATTTTCGGATATAACTTATCCAAAGCATACAGACTGTTGAACGAAACAGTCGCGTATTGTCAATGACGTGGTACGAAAACATTGTGATCAGCTAAATCCCATGGATTTTGTTAATAAATGGCTTTAAAGTTAATTTTGTCTGCTGATCTCGCCTGCTTTACTGCGGCCTTCAGATTAAATCAATTTGCAGTTGTTCTGGATTTTTAAGCTATGGTATGGAACAGTTATGGTTTTTTCATATTATAAGTAGCAATTTCTCTGATTGGTTAATTCGTTGCAGTGACTTGCATTTGAATTATGACGTGATCGTATCACTTTCCTTGTATAAAAGTCATCCAACAAAGGAGTCTGCAGGAATGGTAATTTAAGCCAATAATGTTCCAAAGTGAAGTAAATTAACATAATTGGTCCTAGTACTTTTTGTTAAATAGGGCCTAACAATTTTACGAGAGCTTGAGATCCTGTGGTACACGCAGTAAATCACCACCCCTAATGGCAGTACACAGTAACCGAGAGAAAACTCTATTTTTTATAAGTTATTGTTTCATGTTGTACAGAGAAGAACCGACAGCTTAAACGTCTGCTCCGAAAAGATAGGACGCTATACCACCAGTGGCGTGTTTAGAAGTCTTGTAATGGGGGTGCAGATGTGGGGAGCGAAGGCAACGTGGGGGAGGCTCCATGATCTGTTGAGGGGCGCTAATTCGCAAAATAAGGTGATTATTAACTACTTGATAGTGACTTTTTGGTGGGCGACTGGGGGAGGTGGGGCGAGAGTAATTTTTGGAGGGGCGTTCGCCACCCCGTGCACCCCATAAATACCAGTAGCGGATCCACACCTACCTCAGGCCCATCATAGTTGGGCCTGAGGTGAGAAAATTATAGGAAATAGTAGCTCTAGATTACCGGAAATGACACTTTTATTATAGTAAAATTCATCGTCGTCACATCACCATTATAATAGTCAAAAAGAAACACCAACAAATTTCTCATGATGTTTAACCAGCGATTTTCGGCAACCATAGATATCTAATTAATGTGTGATATATTATAAAACTTAAAAACATTGTCTTTAAGTATTTTATAGTTTTGGCCCATCTGCTTCAAAGCCTAGTCCACACCATAATCTGAGGAGGGAACATTTTGGGAAAATAGTAGATTGCCGGAAATGACACTCTTATAGTAAAATTCATCATCATCGATCTAATTAATCCCTGTGATGTTGCAATGAAAATAAAACTCAATTGTCTTTGATGTATTTTTAATTTACTTCACCTAGGCCTACTTCATGTGCCGAAAACTATTATTATTATTATTATTATTACACGCTTTTTCTCATACTTCTCAAATTATAATAAAGGCATGCGCACTCGAGTCGTGTATTATCAGATGTTTGTGGGCAGAGATAGAGTACGTTTGTACAGTACAGTACCGTACCCTTTCATTAAAACCTGGGTCATTTATGCAGTTCATTTCAAAAATTTTCAGGCATCTTTTTGACTTTTAATTTAAAATTATTAAATTGCGGACGAAAAGTGAGGGCACCAACCCCCACCCCCTTTAAAATATTTGGGACGTGTCCCCTGTCCCCCTTCATCATGTTTTTTTTTAGGGGCGTCTTCCATTTGAGATATTTTGGAATCAGTTGACGGCTAGATGCTCTTGGAAGAAATCTGAAAAGAAGTTAAGCTTAAAATAGAAAGTGTATGTTTTACGAGAGTATACATGTATACATGAGAAGAATACACACAAGACGAGTAACCATTTTTTTTTTCACGGTCACTTAGCAAAAGTGTTACGTACCTTTGGGTTCCCAGTGCTACAACGTGTACTTGATGCCGTCCTTTGTCTTTAGCACTTGGTCTCCATGACAATTCTCTGACATAAAAATCGCCATCTAAATATCCATCCTTGATTATCATCCCATTAATGCCCTCAATGACAAGTGACAGGAATCTAAAAGAAAGGGAACACAAGTATTTGTTATTTATTTTTTTTAAATTGAATTGAATGGAATCAAATGTTATTTGTAATGTAAATTTATATAACGCTATGTACCTAAAGTCTCAAAGCGCTCGAGACGGTGACATAGCTTGTTCGGTAACGGATTGGTTGATTGGTGAGTAGATTGAATTGGTGGTTGGTTGATTGATCGATTCAATGATTGATTGATCAATTGATTTGTTGATCGATTGATCGATGGATCAATTGATCGATAATTCAGTTAATTGACCTGAATAATAGGTCGGCCGTCGGCCGGTCTGTCGGTCGGTTGGTTGCAGATGAAATATACCGATTATTCATTGATTGATATATTGATTGATTGGCTGGTAGATTGAATGACAGACTGATCAATTGATGGTTTGATTGAATGATTGGTTCTAAATATTAAATACTCATGAGTGTTCACAGCAGTGATTGTTCGTTTCCATATTTTCTCAACTTGTAAATAAGTACAGTTTCGACCAATATCGATCTCCGGTTGAACCAGTTCGCATATTGATGGTGCATCCGTTGTGTTTACTGCAAATAAGGAAACATTAAATATTATTATACATTAAATTTTTATAATTTTTATTTTTATTATTATTATCATCACTAATTGAGTGGTTTTGCAGTCCTACGAAAATCATACCTAATACCGTTACCGTACGTCATTGATTTTAAGAATTCTGCGTTTTCTGTCATACAGCGAACCTGTATTTGACGAGAATCAGTTTATGGGCATTGATATTATATCAATCCTATACCGGTACTAATTTGAGTAGGAGAAAGTGTTTGTTATGATTTACCGCACAAGTACCTGCACATTATTATCTGGAAGAAATATATGTTCGTTCCATCCTTTTAGGCCTTTATCATAAAACGAATTTTTGATTTCCTATTTTACACTAACACAATTTACAACACTGAACGAGGCGATTTGTCAAAACAAAAGCAACACACGGCAGAATTTAATGCAAATTGTCTTAATATGCAGTAGATACAACTCCTTCTGTCTGGTGCCACGCTGCCTAAACGAAATTGTTAGTTCACAATATTGTTTCTTATTTAAAAAGTTGGTGTTTACTTACAATTAAAGGACTTGAGGCCTTTCACAGAACGTAGCAATATTCAATATTAAACTTCATAATCTTGTATCATTACGATAGCAGAATGACACATAACTGGCAGAGATATTATGCTAAATTGCGCATTGGTGTGATTCTTGAGTACTAGGGCCTTTAGCAGCCGAGAGGGGTTTAGTTACCAATGTTGACAAATACAAACTTAAAGAATTTAAAATCACTCATATCAAAATACATGAAGACATGTAAATTAGTAGAGGAAAAAACAAGGGGGTGGAGGGGGGGGGGGACTCACGAATCCGACGACTTATTTCCAGTGGTGTCCTTCCGGGAGTGAATAACAAGGATAGTCTAACACATTTAATTACAAAATCATTGTAATAAAAATATATACATTCCTATAAAGTCAAAAAAACAAGAATACCTATTTTTTCTCCAGTAAGAAGTTGATAAGTTACACCCTTCGAAGGAAATTTTGCGCAACGGTGAGTACACGCATCACAGGATTCCGATTCTGTTGCACCGTTTTCAATAACTATACGATACATATTTCCACTTTCAAGTGTTGGTCCATTAAAATGATATGTTTTACGGTCATTGATGTGTACTACCGCTGCATTTTCATCCGACAGATCCACTTGAAAAATCTCTTTATTTTCTGGATCGGTAAGAACCCGAACGTATCGTGACAGTGTTGGACGTTGTATCTGTATACGTTGTAAAGTATAATGATAAGCAATGCTTTTAAAATTATTAGGTTAGGCCTTTGAAAATTTGTTATTACCAAGCTCTCTAGAGAGAATTTCATAATATTGCGTTAGTAATTAGCACACTGACTTCCGAACCTACCAGGTACCCACTTATATTCCAGGGTGGAAACAACCCTAGGTTGATAGTGTTATTAAGAGACACAAGCAAAATGAACTGTGAGGTTTCGAACCACCGACCTCAAGGCTCAAGGTTGAGGTTCCGAATGGAAATCGCCAACCGCTCTCAGATAAAATATTAATGTAAATTTTAATTTATTGTTTTTGTTTACACATACGATAGGCCTACTTTATTCTAAATGTTGTTGATGCAAGCACATGCAAAGAAGCTTTGTAATATTTTTACTTGATTATATTTTTAAATTGTAATAGCAATGTGAAATATGGTTAGCTTGTGCAAGTATGATGAAAGAAAACATACTTTCAACATTTCAGCTTTTACAGCACTCAGTTGGAGCAAAGATCAACCTAATACACCCCCACAGTCGGAATTTGAACAGATAAGACATATCCCCAGAAGAAACAACTTAAATAAATATGACAGGACTAAAATTAGAGATTGTAATCATATGTGTATATCATTATAAACATCCTAACTCAGAGTAGCTTCGTAACACTCTGGAAAATCCTTTAAACTTAAAGGGAAGCACTTTCTATGTAACTAAAATGAAAATTCTGCCTTTAAAAAAAATTGTATTATTGTATTATTTTATTAAGGTTTGCATGACGAAATACTAATAGGCCTGTATGTGATACACCACGTAGATTATCCCTATCCTAAAAATGTATTATTATTATTATTATTATTATTATTATTATTATTATTATTATTATTATTATTATTATTATTATTATTATCATTATCATTATTATTATTATTATATTAGACTTCGGCTTGTTGAACTCGGTTGGGGCCAGGAAGGAACGCAGTAGTGGGTTTCTATTTCACGACAAGTAATCAATAACAATTTGCCCCAAACTGGGCCCAATATGGGGGAAAACAAAACACCCCTATAACTACATACTGATCAATAATTAAGTAGGAGGAGTAAAAGGGGTGGAGTAGGATAAATTTAACCAAAAGTTCAGAGAGACTCACCTCTTGTCTGAACTGGCGCCATATTAATTGTCAGAGAGCGTCTCGTAGCTAGGATACACTCTCTAACCGAAAGCCATGACCTCTAGCCTAAACCACATTACTCCACCTGTGCAGATAGGCGTGAGGCGCCTGTGCTAATATAATATTAATTAAATCTTATTTATTTAATGACTTATTATTATTAGGCCTATTATTATTATTATATTCTTATTATTATTATTATTATTATTATTTTATTATTATCATTATTATTATTATCATTATCATTATTATTATTATTATTATTATTATTATTATTATTATTATCATTATTATTATCATTATCATTATTATTATTATAATTATTTTAATATTATGTATGCTAGCTCGATGCTTTGGCGTTTAATACGCCTTCTGTAGTTTCGTTTAATATTATAAGGCTATACATGTTATGCACATCGTAGGCCTAACTTACCTTCTGATCAAATGTAATGTTCCAAACGCGTTTATGAATATCATACACACTGGTTGACGTTGGATAATGACTCGTGATTTCGGGTGTTTCCTGAATTTTTGCTTCAGCCCATTTTCCTAAAGTTAAAATTATATTGTTTTCATTATTTTTTCAGGCCTTCAGTTTGTTACAATGACACCGTGGTGTAAAATATATAATGTTAAGCAATTAATAAATTTAATTTTTTAAAATATACTGTACAACCGAACAAAACATTATTATATAAAAAAAAAATTATTATATAATAAACTTACGTATTACATTTATCACAACTGTTTTATAATCACTGCGATATCTGCAAGTTAAGCATTCAAACAAATCCCCAGTGTTATCAATAAAGATATTACAGTAGAACATTATGTTGGGCATTATGCCTAAAGTGTGATAGTAATGTCCTAAGCTTTTAAGGTAAGTACTTGAAACGAAAAACACTGTGTTTTTCCATCAGGCATAGTATCTATGAAATATGAACGTTTCAGTAATATCCATGATATTATAGTACTTATTCTCAAATCATATAATATACGTAAATCTAGTTTGAATTAAATATGGATATAATATCACAGCATCGAGTTTATGGCAAAGTCCTGCATAACGACTTAATGCATTACATATATAACTTAGAAAACTATTAATTGTTTTAAAAACAAGACCCACTGGATAAAAAAATTACAGAGTATATACTTTTAGAAAAAACAATTTTTGTTTTTACATGCTCTAAATTATTTTGTAAGGAAAAGGAAAGGTACCGCGCAATAGCATAAAACAAAATCGTTATCGATAGCATATAGTAGGCCTATCTATAGTATAAATATAAACTTACCCATCGTTATCGATAGCATAAATATAAATAAAGTGTTGTCCCGAATCTTCTACAGTTGGTGTCCACGAGATCTTTCTAAACCCGTATTTTGTAGTAGAAGCGTCATTAAATTCGAAAATTCTGATTCTTGAAGTTCCCGGATAAACTACGATGTCTTTTATCCTAATGATCAGAATATATTATTATGCTTTATTCGCTACCAAATTATCAATATTGTAGATATAAAGACTTCGATCTCACCCATGCGTAGATATTTCAATTTAATTTTAGTTATAGATATAAATATTTTTATCAGCATTTCTCACAACAATCCTTTATAAATTATTTGCAAATTTTTAGTAATATAAAATAGTAATTAAATTAGAAGTGAATATAGTTTAGATGAGTAATTCAAAGTTGATAACTTGCTTTCTGCATTTGATTTAGCATTTTCAGTATTTATTTTCATGTAGGCCTAATATTGTTTCTTTGACACAGTACCAGTAAGTTAAGCGTTATTGGACCGCTACTTGTGTTTAGCGCGTATTATCGAATTACGCTTGAAAACGTATGGTAAACATACCCTGATGAGCTATCCGCTTTTAATGTAAGCATCCACGTCTCGCCCACGAGTAGATACAGGCAATCCTGACCGATGTGCAGTTTTGGCTTCTTGCATATATTTTGTGCTATAGACATAGACAAAAATTAGCCTTATTATCTAACCTATTACAATGTTGGCAGTTATATTATGATCATTCACTACGGTATAGAGGAAATTAACAGAAACATTCCATTTGCACCGTCCATTATCACGACGTGCCTACTTTAAATAATTTCCACAGTAATTAGACAGAAATGCTCACAGGAATTTGCATTTGCTGTTTGTTGCAAGTACACTGAATCTGACGTTCTGACGTTGAAATTACTGCACGTTGCTATTTGAAATTACGTTGATATTTGACGTGGCTATAAGAACTTTTAAATACAAAGTTAATTTAATGTGAAATAAGATGCTGTAACTTTGCTTAACAATGATTCAAGGTCATATCTTCTGCTTCAGATGTATCACTCACCATCTATTGACCTTAGCAGCATATATTAACCACCCCATCTTAATGATGTATATTGCTGGTGACCTGTGGTACTGTAGAAAGTTAATACATATTTTCAAGCACTTCAGCTCATTCATTTTTAGGCCTTACAGTATGAATGCTCAAAACGTTGTTGTCTTTTGGAAACTATGCCTATCTTGCTTCTTAGACAATACAATTTGAACAGGAAACATTGCACTGTTATTCGGGAAGTTTAAATTACCTCGTTTATCAACTCTGATTAAATATTGCACCGGTACTTTACTCAGTCTTTGACCGTCTCGGTAATCTTCGACAGTGATCGGCACAGCAAACCAATAGCTTGTTAAACGATTGCCGTAATCTGGGTGACTGTAATCAAGAGCAGAGACAGGAAAAGTATACTCACACCTTTCCTAAAAAAATTAACACAATGTTAAAAAAGTTTTTGTATGTGAGCACACACTATGTATTCATATTTGCGCTTTAACGCATCTATCATTTTGTCATAGGCCTACACACAATATTAGGGAGATTTCGATTGCACGACGACGGTAGGACGTAGAACGTAATGACGTCACTAAGAAGTCATCTGCGCATGCGAGAACGTTAAGGCCACCTCGTCGAGTAGATTCTGGAACGCAATTTGGCCAAATCTACGTATGCAGAGAACGTAGGACGCCAGGTAGGACGGTCACGCATGAGTGATTCCGTTCTATCGTCGCGTCGTCGCACAAAGCTCCCTACTATACAAGCAAGGTAGGGGCCTACTGTAAACGTGTACTAATTGTACGTTAGATATGATAATGTTGAAATCAAGATGGATAGTTTGGACGAGCAATTAAGATTCGGGAAAACAATAGAGATAAATAGGTCTAGAGAGACACTGCTAATTGACAGAGCTCCCGCCAAAGTAGACCTATCCTTATTTCATGTTGTTTTCCAATAGTACGTCTGTTAAATAGGACATGTAATACAAGACAAATTTGCTAGAAAAATTATTCCAAATGGATCTCATAACATAAATGTATATTTACATTGATGATGCAGCACCATCGTAACACCTTCGGGCCAAAAAGAGTGTCCTCTTATGGGTGTCCCTTGAATAGGGTACCTCAATGGACACTAACCAAAAACGTGAAATTGTCCCCTCTCCAGGGGTTTTTGCACATTAGCCACACAATGAGGACATAGATTTGTCATAGTTTTATTTCAGTTGACCTAAGAACGTGTTACAATATAAATGAAGCTAAATTGTAACAATAATTTGCAATTCAAATACAATACATTTATGATTAAATCAAAATAGATGTAATTAAAACAAGAAAAATTGTATATTGTTCCAGATTCCAGTGTCATGACAGATATAGCAGAATTAATAGAGTAATGACTTAAAAATCAGGATGAGAATTGAGGGTTACGGATAGATTTAAATTCTATGTGAAAATATGTAAAAGAAAAACTAATCCCATGACAAAGAGTAATCTTTTATTAAAGTATGCTGAAAAAATAATAAATCCCACAATTAATTTATACAAAATAACACACATACCGATACCCATTTTTAAAGGATCAAGAAAAAGTGTGAATTTTATCACTAAAATTTGAATATATTGTAGTTGTAGAGTGTTACAATAAAAAAAAAATAGTGATACGATAAAAAAAAAAAATAGGCTCTTACATACTTCGTTCATCACTGCATGCGGTGATATAGGCCCACAGACGGGAACAACGTTCATAATTCCAGGAGGGCATTCACTCGGACCAGTAGCCCAACGACATCGCACTTCATCACCATCAGGATCGAAAACTGCAGATACACAATTAATAGATTATCTACTTCGAGCTTGCACTTTATAATGATATTATGATTGTCTGTTTGGCAGGATATAGTAATAAAACCAAACTTTTTTTTCATCTCATTTATTCCACATTGTTTAGACCATTTATAAACAAACATTGAAATCAAAGTTACTGATTCATAAAAAAAGTCAAGGAACTGTAAAATATGTCCCTGTCGCCCCTCTCCAAATACAGGAAATACAGCATCAAAAATGAAATGAACAGAAAATAACACACTTCTTCGTATATAAAATTAATGAAATAAACACAATGTTTCTTCTCTGCTAATTTGCAATTTGAATTGACTCTAACTCTAAATGCTTTAATTATTATAATGATAATTAATATTATTCATCATTATTATTGCGCTTGACTACTATTGGACATACAACAGGGTGTAGTTTCTATTGTTTGTTTTTTTCTTAATTATTATTATTTATACGGTTTGTGTATGTGATCGGACAGTGAAACAGGTTCAAAACATGTAATTGTGTTATCAAAAATTACTGTATTAAAATGTGGTGGGGTGTTAGCGGCTTAAAATGTGAAGTGAGATGACTCGATAATACATAAACGTAACGTTTTGCTTCGAAAACCTTCAGTACAGGAGGGGGGGCCAACTGGGGAACCATCTTTTAAAAGGTGGTTGGGGTCGAATGGCCGAGCGGTTAGCAGGGGCGCCGCAAGCTATAGCCATAATATCTGCACTGGTTCGAACGGCACGCTCGCCTATGGTTCTGGTGGTAGAACAAGTCTTCTCGGAGGAAGGACTATAAACCGTAGGCCCAGTGTATACAATGGCTTACCCCGGTGTACTGTAACAGACAGCCCCTGTGGTAGACGACGAGAGTTGCTGGTACCGGGTTACCGGGTAGCACAGACACGAAGGGACCCTTAGGGGCGAAGGAAGTCAGTGATCGAGTTCCTAGTCCACATTTCAAGCGCCCTGAGCATCTTACATTGGATGGATATATGCGCTATATAAAACTACACTATTATCATCATCATCATCATCATCATCATCATCATCATCATCATCATCATCATCATCATCATCACCATCACCATCATCACCATCATCACCATCACCATCACCATCACCATCATCACCATCATCATCATCATCATCATCATCATCATCATCATTATTATTATTATTATTGGGGACGTGCGAACTTTCTTTCTAGTGATAGGCCACTGATTTTAACATGTGTATGCAGATTCATTGCGTTCATATGACTTCATCTTACTACACTAATTAACATTTACCTGTTAATTTGATTGTCACATTCCCACAACTATGTTGCACGACATATATAGGTGGGAACGTTGCTATGGGAGACGCATTGTTGATACTCGTATCAACTTCTATCATCATTCTCCATAATTTATACATTGATCCTCCTCCATAGTTGGTAATCTTCCTCCAGTAACTACTTGACCTAGTGATGTTTTTGCTTCGTTGATATCTGCCAACCAAAATGTTATACATTTAGTGCAATTATTAAAATAATAAATGACATTTTTTTTACAAAATAGGCCGAAATATTTTAGAAGTCAAGCATACATTATACTTTTGTCTTCCAGATTGAACAGACAATGTTTGATCAGAGTTAGCTGATGAATTGTCATGAATATGCCATATAAACATTTTTGACCATATACAGTATATTTGGAGCCGGGTATAGACCACACTAATATATTATAGTTTACTATATTATCAAACAATAATTGTAAGTCTGAAAAACACATTATGTAAACAATCTTCGGCTGAAGACAAAACTGTAAACTTACGATAACGTGAATTGTGACAAAAGTGTATTTTTATCTCTTGGATCAAAGACGAAGGAATTATGGCCAGTGCTAGACCCATCCTCGATACTGTAGCTTACACAATTCAATCGCAGGGGTTTACGGTAGGCAGTTGGATTCGAACAGTTCAGACATATTAGAAGGCCTTCACCTAATATTTCTTGTCGCCCTTGACAATCAAATATTGGTCTTAAACTTTCCTCGACATCTCGTACCCATGATATCGTCCATGAAACCTGAACCTTTAAAGTGAGTTAAAAATAAAAACACAAGATCAACAATAGGTTTAATATTCATTATATGGTAAGAAAACACCCTTAAGCTGTGCCTCTGACCACAGATACCGTCTCCCTTGGGCCATAGGTCCTTGATTGCCAATCGCTCCGCCAAAAATAATGGACGTCAGAAAATACTGGCCTAACTCCTTCCTTTCACCTTTGTTTAAATCTCAAAATAATCATTCCCTAATTATAATTACGGCATTAAGTAAGCTGATAAATTTGATTCTTATGCTTCAGAAAAGACAAAATTACTGTAGGTCAAATTTAAATGAAGGATGATTTGCGCAATGTTAAATCTTCCTATCTTGACCCCAATATCTTAAAGATGGGCATCTGTTTGATTACACTGTCGGAGCCTGGTGGGGGGGGGGGTGTTTTTGCTGGCGCGAAATTTCAACTAAACTCTCAAGCTCTGGTTATCACTCCTCAGACAACTCCTCAAACTTTAAGATGCCTGGGAGAAACTAACTAAGTTTAAGGTACCGAATAATCCGAATAAACAATATAAAATAACAGCAACAATACATGATATTAGTTACACCATCCACATATCAGGGGGCATGGTTTGGCAGACGATATTGTGAGTCACTTAGTCCCAAAAGACTAAGTGCTATTGGCTTTTGGCTCTGCATGGATAAGAAGTTAACCCCGGCAAAAGAGACATAATTTCATCACAAAACTACAGAGTGTCTAGTGACTCATTAAAGAAAACGATATATAATGCACAGATCGCAATTTCACATATAATGTAATTATTATCTTAAAATAATTTTATTAAAAACACAACTGCTTAAAACTTCATTAACTACGGTATGTTGTGACGTATTTATTTAGAATGTGTCGTTCAACTCCAGGACGTATCCCTCCTCTAAATTATTCTATCTTACTCTCCTTGGCTACAGACTTTCATCTTCGAGTGTTTGCCTTTGGGTCATCCATCCACCTTCTCTTTGGTCGTCCTCTTTTCCTTTTCCTTCCCTTGAATACCATTCTGTGATTTTTTGCGTCCATCTATTATCTTACACCTTGCCAAATGACAGACCATATTTTGAAAATATAGTGTTATTCATATACAGGAGTCTATGCTTGGTGTCATAATATTTTATTTCAACTTCTGACATATACAATTTTAGATTTACAATGATCTAGTAGGAAACAGTCCATAGTGTTTCGACGACAAGTAAACAATTGGATATCGTTTTTGAACGTGATTACTTGAGTCAGCATGTGTATAAATAAGACCCCCACCCCCACCTTCACTTAACGGTCATGTTAGGCTGAGATCTGTGTACGATAAGAATATGTTTTGGCTACTCATAACTTTTTTTTGCTCTGTCAATACTCAAATGTTCTGCTGTCTTTCGTCTCTATGGAATTCACGATGCCAACATCTTTATTTCACGTTTCTATAGCCATCATGTGCCCCGTGCCCTATATAGCGTTATTAGTTGTACGTGGGCGCAGTCGAACTGCGCCCACTGCAGAAGATTACGAAATGTTCCACTAGAAACTTAAACTACGGACTCAAAATATAACATACTGTAGTCATATATTTATGTAAACAAAATATACATTAGGCCTAGGAGTCTCATGTCATACGCAATACATTGGTAGGCCTTTTATACTATTCTTTTAAGGGAATGCACTCCTCCTGGTAAGCCTATTTCATATTGTGAGAAAAATATTTATCTTACAGAAACGTATGTTAATATCAGCGGCTTCTTTAGGGGGTGCGCGATGGGGTGGGGGCGCATGTCCCTCCAAAATTACTCGCTCCTCACCCTATCGTCCCCTAAACAAAATCACTTGCAAGTACTGTAGTTAAAAATCACCTAAAATCACCTTATTTTGAGAGTTAGCGCCACTCAACTGATCATCGAGCCCCTCCCCCCACCCACTTCACCTTCGCTCCCCCTCCCATAAGCACCCCCATTTACAGACTTCTAGATACGCCACTGATTCCCACCCGAATTATTATTATTTGCGAATTTGTTTTCGCAAGCATTTAGGAATGTACTGAGCATTTATGTCAGGTAGAGCAACCATTATTTAGTATTAGGTGGCCCTGCCTATCTAAATAACTAAACAACGACATCTACATGCAAGGCAACATCGACACCTGTATAACATGGTGAATTATTGTTGCGTTGTCTTTTGCAGTTCATTTAAATTTTAATGAGGAAATCATTTGCCCTTATTTTCCCTCAGTTGGTGGAGAGACGCTTTTAGAAATATTCAACCGGGTACCGTATTACATACATACATGTACATATCGCTTCCACTCGTTCAGTCTAGATACACTTTTATTATTCCTAAGGAAATTAATATCTATAACATAAATATCTTAATAATTGTTTATAAAATTAACAAAACAATTATAAATGTAAATTTACCTTTCCATTACTTAGTGATCGCCAATTGAAGGTGCCGCCAAGGTAATGATTTGTATCTCCGATCGAACACAAGCAAGCAATCAAGTAAATGACAACAGAAGAGGAATGAAACATTGTTCTTCAAGGCAATGGTCTGTAGAAATGCAGTGTAACTACCGAACAACAGTGAAATAAACCAAAGATAAAGTAATGCAGAATGTACCGTATGAGTGCTGTGCCTAATGCGAGTTATTACAGTTATTGCCCTAGTGTTTTTGGAGACATGCAAATAGATAAATCACGTGACGTCGACACTAACAAGCAAACCTATTCAGACAGTTCCGTTTGATATGATATAATTATGTTAACATAAATCTTCCTACCAATTAACAATTTAACAAGTTAAGTACCGTAAAACTGATTTATTTAATGAACTACCTTGTGGGGAAAAATATTGCACAAAGGCCTATTACTCAATAATATTATACTACAAAGTTATTAATATACGCCCAAAAGAAACGAGCATGGTACAATCCATAGCGTGAACACGGTAGTCATTACATGGGTGGGCGGCCTATCCGGCTATACGGCAGGGTTGATATAAAGATAATGTGTTGTAAGAAATAGTATAATATGAATTATTAAAAACACATGGTATGACAAGTAGAGTCATTAGCGCCGATTGAGTTGTCAGTGATGGTCCCAGGATTTACCGACTGCAGCGTAGGAGAAGTCCTTGATGACGAAAGAGGGGGACGATACAAGCGAGGTTTTGGCCTGGGCCATGGAGAAGGGACCCTCTCGGTAAGGTCCAGGGGTTAAGTTTCATAAGGGTAAATTGGGGTGGAAAAAACTTCTTCATGAAAATTTCACGACGGCATGATGCGATGAAGTGGACTCTGCTAGATTACTTGTGGTAGAAGGACACATTATTGTCTGGATGTTCAACTTTTATTTCAATAACTGCCTGTATCTAGTTGGAGGTAGGCCTACTACTGTGATCGGCCAACATACCACTCTATATGTCTGTTCTCACAACTACCCCTTCCCATCTTTTACCTTCAACATAACGAAAATGGTGGAGCTTACACGATGTGGAGGGGGGGGGGGGAGAAGGAGCCATTGTGCAAATTTAAAACGAGAATTTAATTTAAGATTAATAAAGGTATGAAAAAACGAAACTACCTTGTTTTTATAAGAACCAGTAACATTTTCGCCCAGGCTTAATGTTCTAATTTTTTGCCTATTTCAGGCTCAAAATATTATTATTTTGTTCTTATTTTTCACACCTTTCTGTGTCTGCACACTTACTGCACATAAGGTACAGATTTATTTAAAAAAATAAAAACCTCATTTGACGCTTTACACCAACCTCAATTTGTTCTTATTTTGTTCTTATTTTTCAAACAATTTTATCAGTGTTCTTATAAAATTTGTTCTTATAAAAATATTACACTAACATTGTCGTTAGGCATATACCTATATCCAATTTTATTTTTATTTTATTTCCATCATGATCACGCCACGTTTAACATAAAGTAGTATTTTGTAAACTGTTGAAAAGATTTATATGGCGTCAATACCCACATTACGACCTATGTATGGTCTTAGTAATAAATTTCAAAATTGTTTGATATAGAAATCATTTATCACAGTCCAATGCCAGATTCGTTCCACACTTTCTCCTCTAGAGTTGATCTGGTGCTTCTGAACTACAAAGAAAAATATATTGGTGTATGCTTATACCTCATGACATACTGTACTTTTTAGAAAGCTAAGCCTACCGTATCTTATAGATTATGTTAATTCACCATGGACATCTGTATCAGTAGTGCCTCAAGGGATTGTTTTTGGGCTTTATCAATGGGGCTTTCAGTGGGCACTTCCCCGTCCTGGTTGTTGAAACTAGACTCTTTTCGTCGAGAAGAATTAACTGTGCTGATTACTACTATTTTTTGTTAGGTCTTAAAAGTACTCTGCTAGGCTAGAATATTCCTTGATGTGTTCGATATACAAGTTTATTTGACCTTCTGACGAACCGCATAAGCTCAATCGGCTAAACCACCTGTGGTAGCCACTGTGGGTGCAGTGAACCGCGGCGATCTCCTAGTCTCCGGTTCAATTCCCATCGCTTCCTCTCCCCGTGTTCCCACTGGAGGGCTGAAATGTAAGTTACGATAGCGCACCGTCTTTGAATGAGACGTTTAGCCGTTGGTCCCGTGTGTAATATAGCCCATGTAGACATACAGTGAAATCTTCGGAACTTCAAGAGAATCAGGGGATTATCTCCCGGTGTACTACCAGTGACGCATCTACGGGGAGGGGGAACTCCCCCAAAAATTACTCGCGCCCTCCCCCAGTCGGCCTCCACCAAAAAAAAAATCACTGTCAAGTAGTTAAAAATCACCTAAAATCACCTTATTTTGCGAATTAGCGCCCCATAACTGATCATCGAGAGCCCCCCCCCCACCCACTTCACCTTCGCGCTGCCCATCAGCACCACCCACCCACTTCACCTTCGCGCTCCCCATCAGCACCACCATTTCAAGACTTCTAGATACGCTGTGTACTACTAAATCACCACCAGAAGGACCTCTTCGAACTTTCGTGGGTTATTCTTGGTGTTTACACCGAATAAATTCAATCTAATCCACTTACGAAAACGGTTTGAATATTGGTAAATAACGTTTTATATTGGTAAAGAACGCGGCGGCCTTTCGCGAGGCTGTAAGTTATTGGGGCTGGTCGAGTTATTTGCAGGATGAATGAAATATTGTTTAAAGTTTTAATGAAAGAATGAATGAAATAAGTTTAAAATGGCTTGGGGAACCGTCTTTTGTCTTGTCACTCTCCCATCTTTTCAGCGATTTAAAAGCCAACGATAATATTAGCCTGAACATTATTCTCATGAAAAACCCTTCCCCATCCCTCAAGAAGAAAAAAGCTGCCGACACTTTTTTGCCAGCTAAAAAGCACTCTCATGGATCCAGACTGAGAGATATCCGAAAGGGGGCCGAAACGTGGGCCGAAAGTCGGGGTTGATCGCGATGACACCACCCTAGCCGGAGGCCAGGGGTCTGCCTCCGCGAAATTTTGGTTTTCTAAACGTCCAAAAATAACCTCTGAGGCATTTTGGGCGATCCATTTTTTTTCTTTTTCTTTTTTTTTTGACTTCACCCCCACCCCTAATTTACTCCCCACCCCCTAAATCCGCCCCTGCTCTAACATGTTAAGGGTGGTGGGAGGACCGGACGTGGACAACCATTACCCCCTTTGGATCCGCGGCCTAAAAAATAATCATTCTGTGAAGCCCAGTCGGCCAAATGCTGCTAGTATTGCCATAACAGAATTATTCTAAAGCATATATTGAGTACTGCTTCGTCTTTTAACTGTAATTTTAGAAAGACCTTGCAAATGAAAGTCATATTACTTTTTAAAATTAAGAACACGAGCCAATAATAATTTTGTTTATAATGTTATAGCAGGTAAGATACTATGCCTACTCTTGAAGAATATGGTAAAAATAGATTATACAATACATGCTAAAATGTAGTCGTAGAAATTCCTTATTCGTCACATATTGACATAATTTAGGGATTAACCTGGTCACTTTATAATATATTTTATTCCATTATATTTAGTGAACATACACGCGTATGAATCTGCCGCACTCACTGAAGTGGTATGTTCCACTTGCCTACTACATAGGCCTATACTGAATACGGTACTCTATTGCTCCTTTCACTGTTAGTTATGAACGTAATATTAATATTGAATTCTCACCTTTTGTAGCGAGACAAATCCTCGTCCAATATTTTGTAGACTCGTGTTATTGTTAAATTATTTTTTTATGATATTTTAATAGACATAAATAGGAGCTCAAAATATGCCTGTAATAATAAGACATTTAAAAGAATGTTGCTACGATATATTTCTTCCAGAGCTGTGCACGCGTCTGGACTGCAAAACCGGCACAAACATAAGGCTTTACTCAATTTATAATATACGTAGATAGATGCTGACTTCACAGTTGATCTTACAATAAGACTTAATGAATAGAACATCATTTTTTCATTTATTATATAGGCTAGTAGGTGAA